CCCAAAACCACCCTAATCAAATCTGACTTTCATTTCAAAAAAGTTTTTTATTTTCTTTTGCTGCTGAGCCAAGCAGTGCCCCTTCTGCCTGGATTCCTCTGCTGCTGCAGCGCGGCTGCAAACCTGAAGGAAGAGCAGCAGCAGCAGCAGCAGCAGTGCAGAAAACGCAGCAGCAGCAGCAACAGCAGCAGCAGTGCAGCAGCAGCAGTGCAGCAGCAGCAGTGCAGCAGCAGCAGCAGTGCAGCAGCAGCAGCAGCAGCAAGAGCAGCAGCAGTGCAGCAGCAGCAGTGCAGGAGCAGCAGCAACAGCGGCAGCAACAGCAGCCGCAGCAGCAGCACTGCAGCAGCAGCAGCAGGGTGTTACGTTTGAGCGCAGCAGCAGCAGCAGCTGAGGCCCGAAAGCCTAAACCCTAAACCCTAAACCCTCGTTTGAAGAGCATCAAGGAGGGCGGCAGCAGCAGCTTCGCTGCAGCAAAACCCTAAACCCTACCCCTTCCTTTGAAGAGCATCTGGCGTGGCGGCAGCAGCAGCCTCGCTGCAGCAAAACCCCAAACCCTAAACCCTAAACCCTAGCCGCTGTGGGAATCGGCTTTCTGCCTCGCGCGCACGCAGGCCCCAAACCCTAAACCCTAAACCCTAGCCGCTGCGGAAAGCGGCTTCCTGCCTCGCGCGCACGCAGGCCCCAACCCCCAAACCCTAAACCCCAAACCCTAAACCCTAAACCCTAAACCCTAAACCCTCGGGATGAAGATTCCGCGGGAAGTGGTTTGGGAAGTGGCGCGAGGGTTTAGAGGCCGCGCGGGCCGCTGCTTCAAACTGGCCCGCTGCCGCGCCTTCAAGGGTTTGAGCAGCAGCAGTTTGCTGCGGCAGCAGCAGCAGCGGCGGTTTAGGGTTTGGTGGATAGTGCGCAGCAACGCAGCAGCAAGAGAGTGGGGCCTTTCTTACAGTTTGCTGCAGTGCGGACTGCAGCAGCAGCAAATTGCCCTCGACAGAAAAGCTCTTTGCTGCTTAGCAGCAACAGAGCCTGTCTCCTTCAGATGCATTGTCGATGAAGCGAGAAGAGGCCTTCTTATTGGGCCCCTTAAAAGGAGACACTTAGCTGGTCTCTAGGGTTTAGGGTTTAGGGTTTAGGGTTTGGGGGCTAGGGTTTGGGGGCTAGGGTTTGGGGGTTGGGGGGCGGCGCGGCAGGGGCTGCAGGTGCATTGTCGATGAAGCAAGAAGAGGCCTTCTTATTGGGCCCCTTAAAAGGAGACACTCGGCTGGCCTCTAGGGTTTAGGGTTTAGGGTTTAGGGTTTGGGGTTTAGGGGGGGAGGCCCCCTCCTGCTCCTGTTTGAAGCCACGGGAAAGGGTTTAGGGTTTAGGGTTTAGGGTTTGTGCGGGGTGCCGCCGCACAAAGGAGGCCTGCCTCCTATTCTCTTTTTTATTTTTTGACTTTAACAAATTGTTTTTGATTTCTTTTTTCTTTTCTTCAACAACTCTTGCTGCCATCACCCAAACCCTAAACCCTAAACCCTAAACCCTAATTCAAAAGACACACTTTAAATGAACTCAGCAAGTAAAACCCCTCTAGCACCAAACCCTAAACCCTAGCCGCCTCAGGGGCCCCAGGGGGCCCCTCTTGGGGCCCCTCAAGGGTCAAGCCTCTTCAAAACTTCTTAGAGGGGGCCCCCCAAGTCCCCTAGGGGCCCCTGGGGGCCCCCCAAGGGGGCCCCCAAGGGGCCCCTCGAGGGCCATTTTGGGGGCCCCTAGGGGCCCCCCTTGAAGTCCATCTGGGGGCCCCTCAGAAGACAATAAAGCCCCCTATAGGGGCCCCCCAAAAGCTTAGCAGGGGGCCCCAAAAGGTATGCGAAAGGTCCTTGGGGGCCCCAAAGGGGCCCCCATAAAAACAGGGGAGGGCCCCGGGGGGCCGTAGGGGCCCCCAGGGGGGCCCCCAAACAGAAAAGGGCCCCTAGGGGCCCCTTTGGGGCCCCCAAAGAAACAGAAAAGGGCCCCTAGGGGCCCCTTGGGGCCTCCAGAGAGGACCCCGGAACCCACCAGGGGCCCCCACTTCTGCTGAAGGGCCCCTAGGGGCCCCCTAGGGCCCACCAGGGGCCCCCCACTGCGCGCAACGGGCCCTTTGGGGGCCCCTAGGGGCCCTCAAAGGGCCCCCAGGGGGCCCCAAAGGGCCCCTAGGGGCCCCCAAAGGGCCCCCAGGGGGCCCCAAAGGGCCCCTAGGGGCCCTCTGGGGGCCCTTAGGGTTCAGGAAGGCCTTGCTTCAGAGGACTTCGTGGAGCCGCGGCTGCCCCTGGTGCGGGATCTAGGGTTTAGGGTTTAGGGTTTAGGGTTTAGGGTTTAGGGTTTGAAGTGGCGAGTCTTCTCCACAAGATAATTGTGCCCGCGGAGTCGGCGCTCGCCACCAAAGTGTTTTGGGCATTTACAGCCACTGTTAAGACTGCACTCTGCAATAAAAATAAATAAATAAATAAATAAATAAATAAATAAATAAATAAATAAATAAATAAATAAATATAAATATATAAATAAATAAATATAAATAAATAAATAAATAAATAGATGAATAAATAAAGTGCCTTGAAAGTTTACTTCTTTTTAATTAAGTGCCTCTTTTTGAAAGCGTTTTTAACTCTGCTCTTTTAATCAATTAATTTGAAACACTTTTGAAAAGATGAAATTAAATTAAATAAATTAAATTAAATTAAATTAAATTTAATTTAATTAAATCAAATGAAATAAAATGAAATTAAATAAAATTAGATAGAATGAACTTAAATAAAACTAAATAAAATGAAACTAAATTAAATCAAAATGAATGCAATTAAATCAAAATAAGTGAAATTAAATCAAGACAAATGAAATTAAATCAAAATAAATGAAGCTAAATGGAATTAAATGGAATTAAATTGAATTGAATTAAATGGAATTAAATGGAATTAAACTGAATTAAATCCAAATAAATGGAACTAAATGGAATTAAATGGAATTAAATGGAATTAAACTGAATTAAATCGAAATAAATGGAATTAAACAAAATTAAGTCCAAATAAATGCAATTAAATGGAATTAAACGGAATTAACCTGAATTAAATCAAAATAGGTGCAATTAAATGGAACTAAATGGAATTAAATGGAATTAAACAAAATTAAATCGAAATAAATGGAATTGAATGGAATTAAACGGAATTAAATGGAATCAAACTAAGTTAAATCAAAATAAGTGCAATTAAGTGAAATTAAACTAAATTAAATCCAAATAAATGGAAATAAATGCAAATAAATGGAATTAAATGGAATTAAACTAGATTAAATCAAAATAAGTACAATTAAATGGAATTAAACGGAATTAACCTAAATGAAGTCCAAATAAATGGAAATAAATGCAAATAAATGGAATTAAACAAATTAAATCGGAATAAAAGAACCCACCGTGTGTGCGCTCAAGTGGAAGCCACTCTTGGCAGAAACTCCGTCTCTTAATGGAAAACAAAACAAAGACTGGTCTTCACAACCCGACAACAACCAGCCACTTCCAGTCCCCAAAAAGCAGTTGTGCAGCGGCAGCAACTCGTGCTGAATCCGCAGCCGCCGGCTGTACGTACACCCCACGCCCCACACGTACACCCCACGCACGCATGCATGCACCCACACTCCGCATGCATACACCCCACGCCCACATGCATGCACCCCACACTCCGCATGCATGCACCCCACACTCTGCATGCATACACCCCACACTCCGCATGCATACACCCCACACTCCGCATGCATACACCTCACGCCACACATATACACCCCACACCCTGCATGCATGCACCCCACACTCCGCATGCATACACCCCAAGCCCCGCATGCATACACCCCAAGCCCCGCATGCATACACCCCAAGCCCCGCATGCATACACCCCACAGTCCGCATGCATGCACCCCACACTCCCCATGCATACACCCCACACCCCACATGCATACACCCCACGCACTGCATGCATACACCCCACACTCCGCATGCATACACCCCAGGCCCCACACGTACACCCCAGGCCCCACACGCATACACCCCAGGCAGATACACCCCAGGGAGCGAGCCGCTGGCTGTGGGGAGTTCGGAAGAGCGCAGCGGCGCCTTTGCGGTTCAGGGGCGAGGGTTTAGGGTTTAGGGTTTAGGGTTTAGGGTTTAGGGTTTAGGGTTTGGGGCTGCGGACCAAACCCGCAAGTTGGAGAGCGAGCCGCTCGCTGCGCCGTACAGACACTCCACCACCGCGATGCTGCAGTCGCAGCAGTTGGCGATCACCAGCGGCAGCTCCCGCGGAGACCGACTTGGGACGAAGTTCAAACAAGTTATTGCGCCGTAGCAGCAGCAGCAGCAGCAGCAGCAGCAGCAGCAGCAGCAGCAGCAGCAGCAGCAGCAGCAGCAGCAGCGGCAGCAGCGGCGGGGGCGGCAGTGGATGGCTGGCGCGAATGCGCTCCAGATGGTTCGCTTTCCGTCCTCCTATCTGCCCATCTTTCTAGCTAGCTAGTCAGCCAGATAGCTAGCTAGCTAGCTAGCCAGCTAGCCAGATAGCTAGCTAGCCAGCTAGCCAGCTAGCCAGCTAGCCAGATAGCTAGCTGGCCAGCTAGCCAGCTAGCTAGCTAGCTAGCTAGCTATCTACCCTACTAGATGCCTAGATAGCTCGTTCTCCAGCTCTCCCTCCACCCTCCCCCCCTATTTCCCCACCTAGCTAGCTAGCTAGCCAGGTAGCCAGCTACCTAGCTAGCCAGCTAGCTAGCCAGCTAGCTAGCCAGCTAGCTAGCTACCCATCTACCCTCCTAGATGCCTAGATAGCTCGTTCTCCAGCTCTCTTCCCACCCACCCCCTATTTCCCCACCTAGCTAGCCAGCTAGCCAGCTAGCCAGCCAGCTAGCCAGCTAGCTAGCTAGCTAGCTGCAGCTCGGCTCACCTTGCTGAGGTTGACTTTGTACCTGTAGGTGAGGCTGGCGCTGTCCGTGGCCTCGAGTACGTACAGCTG